AAAGAGAAGGCAAATATATTAAAATTCCTTCTTCAGCTCTGTGTATACAAAGGAGCATGAGGGAGCTCTTGTCCATAATGGGCATGGTATTGACACAGCTCCAGATGATCCACATTGGCTCACAATTGATATGATCTAAAAAATATTTAGACAGAATAAAAGGTGAATAAAGCACCTGGACCGGATGGCATACACCCACGGGTCCTTAAAGTATTGAGCTCTGTCATTTCAAAGCCATTGATTCTAATTTTTAGGGACTCTTTAATGATTGGCATAGTACCACTGGATTGGCGTAAGGCCAATGTGGTGCCAATATTTAAAAAGGGATCAAAATCTTTACCAAGTAATTATAGATCTGTTAGTTTAACGTCTATAGTTGGGAAGATACTGGAGAGTTTTTAATAAAAGATCACATAGATGAGTTCTTGCTGGAAAAAAATATTTTAAGCAACAGACAGCATGGATAATTGAAGGACAGAAGTTGTCAAGCAAATCTGATTTCTTTTTTTGAGGAGGTGAGCAAGACCTTGGACAGAGGGGTGGCGGTGGACGTGGTATACTTGGATTTTGCAAAAGCGTTTGACACGGTTCCCCACACACGGCTAATGTGTAAGGTAAGTCTACAGGCTTGGAAAAATCTGTATGTAAATGGATAGAAAACTGGCTAAAAGATCGTATTTAAAGAGTAGTGGTTAATGATTCATACTCTGAATGGTCTAGGGTTGTCAGTGGTGTACCCCAAGGTTCAGTGTTGGGACCCTTACATTTTAATATATTTATAAACAATATAGGGTCTGGGATTAAAAATCCCATTTCAGTCTTTGCAGATGACACCAAGCTGTGCAGTGGAATAACGTCCTTACAGGATGTCTCCAATTTACAAGCCGACCTCAATGCACTGTGTAATTGGGCAACTATGTAGCAAATTAAATTTAATGTTGATAAATGTAAGTTTGCACATGGGGGCTAAGAATATGCATGCATCATACATACTAGGGGGGTACAACTGGGGGGAATCAATGGCGGAGAAGGATCTGGGAATTCTGGTAGATCACAATCTTAATAATGGCATGCAATGCCAAGCTGCAGTTTCTAAAGCGATCAAAATCCTCTCTTGTATTAAAAGAGGTATAGACTCCAGAGAGAGAGATATCATTTCCCCGGTACAAATCATTAGTAAACCTCATCTGGAATATGCAGTTCAGTTTTGGGCACCAATTCACAAAAAGAACATTGGGGAACTGGAGAAAGTACAGAGAAGGGCAACCAAACTGATAAGAGGCATGGAGGAGCTCAGCTATGAGGAAAGATTAGAGGAACTGAATTTATTCTCTCTTGAGAAGAGGAGATTAAGGGGGGATATGATCAACATATATAAATACATCAGTGATACATACATTCATATAGTGAACTCGGTGTAGAGCTATCCACCCGGAGGTCATCACAGAGGACAAGGGGGCACTCTTTACATCTGGAGGAACAGAAATTTAATCTCCAAACACGGAAAGGTTTTTTCACAGTGAAAGCTCTGAAAATGTGGAATAGACTCCCTCAAAAGTTGGTTCTGGCCAGCTCAGTGGATTGCTTTAAAAAGGCCTGGATTCTTTCCTAGATACACAGAATATAACTGGATACTAACATTTATAGGTAAAGTTGATCCAGGGAATATCCGATTGCCTCTCGGGGAATCAGGAAGGATTTTTTTTTCCCTGCAGGAGCAAATTGGATCATGCTTTGCTGGGTTTTTTATCTTCCTCTGGATCAACTATGGGTATAGGATTATAACTTTTTTTTTTAATGGTTGAACGTGATGGACTTTTGTCTTTTTTCAGCCTGACTAACTATGTAACTATGTAAAATATTTTCATATCTGTTGCAGCCTCCCTAAGTCTTCAGTATGTAAATCAGCCCCCCAGCAAACCATACATCCATAAAAAATTAGCTGCAGCCAGGTGAGTAATGAATGCTCCCTAGAGACATGAAGGAAGGTGATGTCCCCAGCATTTCCAGTGTGTATTATGACGGGTTCTCCAGATATTGATAGATATATAGTACAATGGGGCAGCACAGTGGCTAAATGGTTAGCACTTACGCCTGGAGTTTGCATGTACCCTCTGTGCCTGTGTGGGTTTCCTCTAGCTACTCTGGTTTCCTCCTACACTTGAAAGACACGCTGGCAGGTTAATTGGATCCTGTCTAAGGCTAGGTGCATTGCAGGTTGCCTTTGAGCCGTTTATGCATTGCGTTGCATTCTGTGTTTTTGACGAGTTTTTGTTTTGTTCTTTTTAATTTTTTTGTATATTTCTTGTTGCTAGGCACTACATGCTTTTCTGCAGCATTTTCATTGAAGTCTATAGAACCAAAAACACAACTTTTTGTTTAAAAAAAAAAGTCCTTGACCCTTTCCAAAAAACGCTCCGAGGGAAATGCGGAGATGTGAACATGTCCCATAGGAAATAATGTTAAATGTACTGTAGTGCGTTTCTGCAAAACACTGCAGAAAAAACACTTAGGTGTGAACCTAAGATAAATTGGCCCTAGTATGTGTATGTATAAATGTAAGTTAGGGACCTTAGATTGTACACCCCTTGAGGGTTAGGGACTGATGTGAATGTATAATATACAGGTGAAACTCAAAAAATTTGAATATTGTGCAAAAGTTCATTTATTTCAGTAATGCAACTTAAAAGGTGAAACTAATATATGAGATAGACTCATTACATGTAAAGTAAGATAGTTCAAGCTGTGATTTGTCATCATTGTGATGATTATGGCTTACAGCTCATGAAAACCCCAAATCCAAATTCTCAGAAAATGAGAATATTGTAAAAAGGTGCAATATTCTCGGCTCAAAGTGTCCCACTCTAATCAGCTAATTAAGCCATAACACCTGCAAAGGGTTCCTGAGCCTTTAAATGGTCTCCCAGTCTGGTTCAGTAGGAATTACAATCATGGGAAAGACTGACTGACCTGACAGTTGTGCAGAAAACCATCATTGACACCCTCCATAAGGAGGGAAACCCTCAAAAGGTAATTGCAAAAGAAGTTGGATGTTCCCAAAGTGCTGTATCAAAGCACATTAATAGAAAGTTATATGGAAGGGAAAAGTGTAGAAGAAAAAGGTGCACAAGCAGCAGGGATGACCGCAGCCTGGAGAGGATTGTCAGGAAAAGGCCATTCAAAAGTGTTGGGGACTTTCACAAGGAGTGGACTGAGGCTGGAGTCAGTGCATCAGTGCAGCTCCTGAACAACAAACAACATCAGAAGCGTCTTACCTGGGCTAAAGAAAAACAGACCTGGTCTGTTGCTCAGTGGTCCAAAGTCCTCTTTTCTGATGAGAGCAACTTTTGCATCTCATTTGGAAACCAAGGACCCAGAGTATGGAGGAAGAATGGAGAGGCACACACTGCAAGATGCTTGAAGTCCAGTGTGAAGTTTCCACAGTCTGTGTTGATTTGGGGAGCCATGTCATCTGCTGGTGTTGGTCCACTGTGCTTCATTAAGTCCAGGGTCAACACAGCCATCTACCAGGAGATTTTGGAGCACTTCATGCTTCCTTCCGCAGACGAGCTTTATGGGGATGCTGACTTCATTTTCCAGCAGGACTTGGCACCTGCCCACACTGCCAAAAGCACCAAAACCTGGTTCAATGACCGTAGGATTACTGTGCTTGATTGGCCAGCAAACTCGCCTGACCTGAACCCCATAGAGAATCTATGGGGCATTACCAAGAGAAAGATGAGAGACATGAGACCGAACAATGCAGAAGAGCTGAAGGCCGCTATTGAAGCATCCTGGTCTTCCATAACACCTCAGCAGTGTCACAGGCTGATAGCTTCCATGCCACGCCGCATTGAGGCAGTAATTGCTGCAAAAGGGGCCCAAACCAAGTACTGAGTACATATGCATGCTTATACTTTTCAGAGGTCCGATATTGTTCTATGTACAATCCTTGTTTTATTGATTGCATGTAATATTCTCATTTTCTGAGATTGTGGATTTGGAGTTTTCATGAGCTGTAAGCCATAATCATCACAATTATGACAAATCACGGCTTGAACTATCTTGCTTTGCATGTAATGAGTCTCTCTCATATATTAGTTTCACCTTTTAAGTTGCATTACTGAAATAAATAAACTTTTGCACAATATTCTAATTTTGCGAGTTTCACCTGTATACGTAAAGTACTGTGTAAGTTGACTTATAAGTGCCTGTAATAAATAAATAAAAATAAATACTTATTGTATGCACAACACCATCTGATGCTGAAAGGTAGATTCACACCTGTAAGGATATAAGGTCTCCTGAGTTTAATATGTTTTAGGCTACATTCACAAGGCAGCATGAATGTGGATAGTTTGCTGCATTCAGTGATGGCTAAATGCAACCTCTGGACATAGCAACACTCTGTTCTATGGCCCCATGCAAACTGGTTGACTAGCTTTGGCCAGTTTATGTGCGGACAAAACGCAACAGATATGTTGACCCTGGATGCCCATTGGCTCCCAGTATTGGCAGGGTGAGTAATGGCAACTCAGCACAGGAAGTGTGTTACTGGAAGGATGACCAGGTGAAAATACAAGTTTAAAGGGGGGAAAATGGAAATTAATGCAGCCATCACATTTCAGGACTGGTAATCTTCAATATATTCAATTTTTGTTTTTGGATTTAGATCAACAGAATAAACTGACTATATCTAATAACTTTAAAAAATATAACAGCATGCAACAAATATGCAGCCAGGGCATTCCCTGCCCCACAGCCATATAATAAAACAAAGGGGCGGGGATGCTCACGACATCAACACAGCCATGTGGCTGTATTAGGCCAATGATAATCATCCTTAGATGATTACCTTGGATTGTACGCCCCTTGAGGGTTAGGGGCTGATGTGAATGTACAATATATATGTGTAAAGCGCTGCGTAAATTGACGGCGCTATATAAGTACCTGAAATAAAATCCCTTTGTGTATGCGCGGCTGTGTGGCGGGGAATGATTTGGCCACAGTTTATTGGACAGCAGTGGATAGGACTGACTTTTAGAAGCAGGGGCGGACTGACCATTTGGAAACTCAGGGGCCCGGGGTCAGTAGGGGGCCCCATGATGAGATGCCCCTGGTACCTTTTTCATAGGCTTTTTTGAGTTTGGGCAAGGGCACACAGGGGCCCTATGATCCCCTATAGCCTGGGGGCCCCATGAGTTGTCAGTCCACCCCTGTTTAGGAGCACATATTCCTTGGACTTTTCACTTATAGACTATTATGATATCATGAGGAATAGGTTTTGGAATTAGGTCTTCAAACTGAAACATTATAACATGCAGTATCTACCATCTATAATTTACCTGCCACTTTTTTGACCTTCCCTAACTACTTTACTCAAAGAGAATAGGAACTAGGGGTTGTCTTTCCGGAGGAGTACAAATTCAAATCATGTACTCTGACACGAACTCTCTCTTGTTAGTACAGCTCAGAAACACAATTTTAAAATGCTCAATAGATGATACAAATGTCCCTGTATACTTAAAATCTTTCCCAGTATTTTCGATCCATCCCTCCCTCAATCTTCCTCATGGGTGTCTTAACTTTCTTTTCAGTCTCTATGCACCCATTCTCCAGTAGACAAGATTCATTGCTCACTTCGATATATAAGGTGCTTCAGATGTACTTTTTTGGATTATTTAAATATCATTCCATTTCTAATTTTCTCTGGTTATCCAAAATTTGTGTTTGGGTACTGCTTTCCTTGTCGTGTTCTACTTAACATATTGTAGCTCGACAGTGATGTATTCAGACTGTATACGGGTCTTCTTTCTCCTTTTTTTTTTTTTTCTTTTGTGATTTCTATGTACTTTAAGATCCTTTGGGTCTTTGATTCTGTATGTTTTATATATACTAATAAAACTTGTATTATCAAAAAAATAAAACTTTGAAATATCTATACCAACAGACTTCCAGAAATCTCATTGCACCTCAAGTATCCCTACTGGCAATTAATCAATATGAATAAAGCAATATTCCTTTCTACTTCTTGTACTGGTAAGCATGAGAACCATATGCTATTGGTCCTTCAGTTAGAGTCCTATCACATACTCAGCACCAGTGTAGCATCCTTTCAAAAACAGCAGTGTTTGCACTTGAGAATATATGAAGGAGATGAATTTGTTGCTATAAAACTATGATGATGCTTTGCAAATCACTAATATATGCCTAAATAGGGATGAATAACACATTCCACACATCATTCTAGCAGCAGAAAAATTCAGCCTACATAAGAAAACACCATATCGAATAACCATAATATACATACCATGGTAATGGTGCAAAATCTCATTAGATCAATAGGCAGACACAGCTTGAGCTTTACTGTCACAGTACTGAGCAATATCACAGTTTTGACATAAGGATGAAATGACAGCTGTAACCGTAGAAATGTTATTTCTTCCTGCCAGGGTTGAAAAAATTAGTCTTTGACTCTATCACTTGTTAGTTTCAGTTACCTGCTGTCCTTGTTTTACATCATCCTTCCTCGTCCTCTAATCTTTCCCAGTTACTGTTAATTTTTCTGTAGCTTAAAATCTGGAATCCCATCAATCCCCTCCAACCTATAGTGTTTATACAATATTTAACCTTGGTATTTCATAAAAGATTTTTGAGCTAGGTCTCTGTCATCCTTGGGAACACTGTGCCTTAAGGGCTAATACCCTTAACTAAATGTTATTACCTAGCCTTTGCACACATGGGTATTAAAGAAGATCTGTCATTTTTTACAGTTGTATCCCCAATGGGGCAAAGTACATGAGCTCTCTTGCCCTAGTTATGAGGTCTGCCCTGCACTCCTCTTCCTTTCTGCTGTGCTGGATCCAACAACAGCTGTGAAGGAGACAACTGATTCAAAGCTTGCCCTATTACATTGGTAAATAATGCCAAAAGTCTCTTTTATATTTGTACCCAGTGTAGAAGAAACCTCTTACATTAGGTGTCAGTGGGAATTTGTCCTCTTGTATTGATGGCCAATGGAGAATAGCTCCTTTACACTGATGGTCAGTGTAGACACGAACCCTTGCATTGGATATCAGTAATAAATTGCCCCCTTACATTAATGGCTATTGTAGGTGGGCGGTTAATCCTCCCCTGCTTACCGCTCAGAGAATCCCTAGCTAGTGGTGTACCTACCATATTTGGCACATGGGCCTGAAAATTTTTAACAGCCCTCTTACTATAAAAAAAATTATCTTCAGTAATGAAGTGTGTGATGGACCGCCTGACAGCACCTCTATCAATTCCCTGGCAGAGCCTCCCCAGAGTGCGGAGTCTAAGCACCGGAGCACTTGTTCACCAGGGCCCCTGATGGTGGGGATGGACTTGGAGCGCTCCGGTACCAGGTCACAGCTGCTAGGTATCTCCAAACAGGGGTAGAGGAGTCTGACAGGAGCTCCAGGGGGCTAAGAGTCTGATGTGAGGGAGCCTAGTGATCCCTGTGGGATGGATGGATGGATGAGCTAAATCAGAGTCATACAGGCCGGGTCGGTAACTAGCGGGTCGGTGAGGTACAAAACGGTAGGCAAAAGGATAGTCGGGTCACACGCAGGGTCAATACCAAAAGATCAGATTTAAAGGGGAACATCCAGGAGCAGAGTCAGGCAGGCCAAGGGTCAGGACAGGAGAAGGCAGCAAGGTCAAACAATCCAGATCAAGATACTCACAACACAGGTAACAGCATACAAAGACCATTCGGCAACAAGTGTTTGTGCAGAGCTGATTTAAATAGCCCGCCCTGCACCTGACAGGCGCAGCCTAGGTCCTAGTGCCTGCCTAGTACTGTCAAGACGACGGGTGCACCTGGGTCCTAGTGCCCTGTCACCTACACATCTTGGCAGACACCTACGCCTGTGTAGACCCATGCGTCGCGATGGTCCCTGACAAAGTGACTCTGAATAATGGTGTTGCCAAATTTCATTATCAGTGGGCATGATGTAATACAACCCCAGCCTACTTGCTTTAAACACAGCATGCATATACCAAAGTACTTTTACCCACAAAATATGCTTTAATTACTGTGCCACAAGGGAGTTTCTAACAGACATTTACAATTGAGTACCGTCAGTGATACTTTTTTTATTTGCACTAACAAACAATTTTGAGGACAAGCTTTCGGGGAGTGTCCCCTTCTTCAGGTCCAAGCAGTACTCACTGCTTGGACCTGAAGAAGGGGACACTCCCCGAAAGCTTGTCCTCAAAATTGTTTGTTAGTGCAAATAAAAAAAGTATCATGGACAGTACTCAATTGTTTCTGCCGCAAATGCACTAATACGGCTACAATGACCTCTAACAGACATTTACAAATCTCAGCACAATAATTTTTAAAACAAGAAACCAAATGAAACCATTACATATGTTTTATTTCTACAGGCAGCCTATCTTCAGGAGTATATAATGTACATAGGCTGCAGTCATCATGAGTATGTCATATAAAGCCCAGTGTACAGAATGCAGTGGTCAGAAGTATTTCATGTACAATTTAGTTCCTATAGTGCAGGATTCAGGAGTGTGTAACTCAAAAAGTGCCGGAGACAGGAATGCTTAAGGCAGAGTTCAGGGATCAAAAGTGTGTGATGCAGAGAATGCAGGAGTTCATAACATGCAGAATTTAGGGTTGGGAGTGCATATAACAGAGAGTGCAGGGGTCAGGCGTATGTAATGCAGAGAGTGTAGTGCTAATGTAATTAGCGCAGTGTACAGAATACAAATAAAAAATGACTTCCTCTTGCCAGTATAAATCAGCCCCCAAGCTCATATCTCCAGAGCAAAATGTAGATCTTGGGGGGCCCAGGGCACTTCAGGTTCAGGGAGGCCTTTAGACACAGAGTAGGTTTACATAGAGGAAACAATGTCATTCTGAGGTAATGCGTACACACACACGCAGTCATAGTGCACTATGTGTCATTAGCTTGAGCCACCAAAGTTCATTTTTAAAAATGATACAATATACCAGTCCAGAGTAGAAACTTTTACAGATGGTGGTCAGCAAAAATATTACTTAACAAGATACATTAAAAAAAGGACAGTCATTTTTTATTATATATGTTTTATTATGTTATTATTTATTTTTTATTATTTTATTTTTTTTATATTGTTTATATCATTTTTGTATAGAGGGGGACCCTTTCTGTCGAGGGGGGATGGGGGCACAGGGCAGTTGTCCCTTTTGCCCTCTTATAAATCCAGCACTGCATATCCCCCACAGTACAGTTCTCCCTCAGCAGCCCCAATTCTGCCCCAGTACAGATATCCCCCACAGTTCTAAATCCCCCCTCGGTACAGCCCTTCTTCCCACCCCAACCCCTCAGTACAGACCACCCTTCCCCTCAGTAGAGACTTCCCTTAGTACAGAGCTCTCTCCCAGCCCACCCCCTTAGTAAAGACCCCCCTTCTTAACTACAGACCCCCCTCACAGCCCACCCCATCAACGCAGACCCTCTCTCAGCAAAGACCCTCTTTCCTCAGTACAGATCCCAACTTAGTATAACCCTTAATCCATACAGACCTCCCCCTCAGTACAGACCGCCCCCTCCCCCCAGTATAAACCTCCATCCCCCAGTACAGGCCCCTCAGCCACCTTTCTACAGGAGAGACTCTTCATCTGTACCAATCTTCCCCCTGCCTCCCCAGATGCAATTAGTGCGGGAAGTTCTCCCCTTAGCTGTGTCATGTGACAGGAGCCAAGAAGGATTCTTTCTCTGCTCCGAAGTGCCATTCTGGGATCAGCAAAAAGCAGTGCATATACAATGGGCACTGCAGCGCCATGCAATACAAACAGAAAACAATTGTCAAGCAGTGGCTGAGTAATGAGTGGCCGTCCAACATTTTTTTGCATGTGGCCCCCCAGCACCCACCAAGTGCTGACATCTAGTGCAGGCCACCCCCCAAGGTAAGCCACTGCTCCTAGCAGCCTCTGGAGGAACCCTAGCTGAGAAAGTGTGCTCTATAGTATTCCCCTGTACTCCTCCCCAGCAGGTACATCATAAAAGGTTATGTATGTAGAGAGGTGAGAGAGAAGGAGAGTAGTGTAATTATACCGTATTT